GTCCCTCCCCTGAGCGTCAGCGAGAATCAGACCCAGAACAAGGAGTCGGTTGTGCTTTACAAACCGGGGGATGTTGAAGCTTTGGGCAAATGACTTTCACTCTCTGAACTGGACGATTGCGAGAAAGAATGAGGAACACAGCAGGTGAAGCCGACAAGACAGTAAATTACCTATTTTCCTGCTGAGCATGATGTAAAGTGTCACCAAGAGGAGAGTGTATAGGATCAAGGTGACGGCTGAGATGGCAACAAGCACCCACCTGAACAAGAGAAAAATATTTTCTCTAAGTGAAAGAAATAACCAAATTATTTTAAATCTTTCAGGTACTGTTTGGCTGGCATTGCTTCAAAGCATGTTTTAGACCAAGGTTTGCTAGTACAGTTTTTGGTTTTGCTTTTTGTCTTTAAGGCAATGTGCCCAAAAATCTGGGGCTCCATTTTCAAAAATGACTAGTGCTCCTTGCGCTTCATTTTTGGGTGCCCGTCCTAAGAAGGGTTTTCGAAAGCCTCATTGCCAGCAGGCGGGGGGGGGCGCTTGGTGGAAGAGAGGTTACAAATATGGCTCCTGCCAAAATCACAAGCCCTTTCTGAGACTCGCGCCTGTGTGTCTGCCAAACGCGGCCATCCAGTGACAACGCGCAATTGCCCCCAGCGCAGCAAAATGCAGGCACGGTGTCGCCAGCGACGGGGGCTGCGGCATCCCCGTGCTCTGCCGCTGCTCCCGGACCCACGGCACAGCATCCCCGCAGCCAGAGCCCGGCCAAGCGAGGACAGAGAAACCGAGCAGAAAGGTGCCCCGTAGCAGCAGTTATCCTTCCATCTTAGAGCATCTCCCTCGCCGCAGGAGGGCTGCAAAGGGCTACCTGTGGCTCTAGCCCGGGCCGCTGTACTCACCATTCACAAGTGCTCATCCTCCCCGCGAGGCGTCGAGGCGGTCGGTGAAGCGCTGGAGGTCTCGGCGGGGACAGAGAGAGGCAGCTAGCCCTGGTGGCAATGAACCAAAATGGTCCCATTGAGCTTCACACTGCTCCACATCCACTGAAGATCAGGCTCACCGCTTGAAAGCAGTGGTCTGGCATCGCAGACGTAAAATAAAGGTATCCAGCCTTCCCTCTGCGCGAGGCTCTTACTGTATGTGCGATTCCTTCTCGTACGCACCCCTTACACAGCCACTGACTCTCCCTGCCATTATCATCGAGCTTAACGGGTTTATACACTGGTCATATCTGATACTTGACTGGAGCTTCTGGGCTCCACCGTGGCGCTGATAATAACAAGAACCAAAATTTATTCTTCTTGCTTTCTAACTGCTCTTGCGTTTCTTTTTTTTTTTTAAATCCACAAAAAATATTTGATAACTATAACCTGGGGGAAAAAAAAACAACATAGAAGAAAGTAACCAAAAGAAGGCCACGGGTTTGGTGTCAGGCTCTTGCATCGGTCAAGATCCAGCCAGAAAAGTCCGAGGCCCTTCAACAGCTCTGCATTTGAAACACCTCGGATTTAATTTTAGATGAGCGCTTAAATCCTGTTGAAGTTAAGGGGACTTAAGGGACAGAATTAGAAAACACATACGCCTGAACTGGACCCCTTGGCTTGGGACATTTGGCCATAATATTCAAGAGATCTATAATAAAGGACGACAATCAGGGGCATTCATTTTGTGAGCTTTCACTTGCAAAAAAGCACTTTAAATTTTCACTCAATTCCTATATACTTACTGTTTATAAATAGCTAACAGGGAGGTTATTTTCAACTAAAGCTTTTATATGATGATTAAAGGAGCCATAATAATATGATTGATAGACTGATAGATAGATTGATAGTGAGAGCAAAGGCATTATCCATCCTATGGATCAGATTCTATAATTTCCTCTATGACACATTTCTAAGAGTAATTCATCAAAAGCTTTTCCAATAGCCTCACCAATCTCCTGCGAAATTCCACTTACCCAAACAGTCTGGCAACTGCCAAGCTAAAAGTCCATTTCTTGCTGGAATTTTCCCCCTCCCTTATTGAACTGATCTGTCCCCAAATATCCTTCTCAAATGGCTGTCATTCTTAAATGGCTCATTTCCTACTGTGGGGCAAGAGATGCTGCTGCAGCAGATAACAATCTGAAAAATGAGCTGTTCAAAAGGAAATTGCAAAATAAGACCCAAATCCAAATATCAGTAGCAGGCAGCTTCTTTGCTGAGATGGGGTATGGCGAGATTAAAGAGGTGATACACATAGGCGTATTGAAATAATCTATGTTGAAGATAACAGCTAGTAAGATGCTGGCAGCACATGTACTTTTTTGATGTATCAGGTAACTCGCTGTGAGCCTCCCTCCCTCCAGCCCCCAGGATATTAACCCTTTCTCAAGCAAGATGCCCTTTTGAAATCAAGGCTTGTAAAGAGCCCCTGCACGGCTGCTTACCGACTAGTGAATTCAGGACATCTACGCTCAATCTAAAGGTAAGCAAAATCATGGGAACGCCTCAAATTATTTTAATCCCATTTGAGTCGGGCCTTACGGCCCCAAGTTAAGGCTAAAGCCCAGGCTGGCAGTGGCGCATGCCTGCAGGCATCCCTCGGACACGGACACCAAACCCAGCTCTTGTCCTGATGTACGACCCCTCTGCTTTCCAAGGCATTGCGTGCAACGGCCAGTGGAGTGCAATATCTAGTAGCGTTTTACCTGGGCGACCAGAGCTTTCCGCACCTTCCCTTTCCCGCAGGCCGGGGGCAGCTGGGGCCTTGGAGCGAGCAGGAATTAAGGACCTTTCAGCAGCATTTTCGGTGGCCGTGCAGCCGCAGGGGTCCAGCAGTGCAGAAGCGCTCGCCGGCTCGGTGCCGGATGCGGTCTCGCTCTACCCCGATGGCAACGGCAGGAACGAGCCCACACGAAGTTCCATGACACTCCCCCTCTGTCAACTGGCCCATTTAAATATATCTGGGTGTTTCTCTGCTGTTCTGCAGCCGCTTCTGCTCTGGGGCTGGGACACTGTATCCCCCCGGGCAGTTCTCCCTCTTGCTCCATCTTCCAGCAGCTTTGTGCTAAAATGCAGCTGAGCTTCGGTGGAACAAAGCGGTCCCCGAGGGCAGAGAGCTCTGCCCAGCAGCAACGGAGCTGGCTCAGTGCTGAGCAATTCAGCTGCCACCCAAAAATTGCTCTGGGTGCTTCCAGGTCTTCTATAGAGGTAAAACATTTTAAATCATAAGGGACGTGGTCCCAGAGCCTGGCATGGCTTGGTGTCTGCTGGGGGTGAACGGGTCTCCACCCGACCACTTTCTGGAAAAATTTTCTGGTCAGTAGTAACTTGCGGTGTCACTCAAAAACAGCGGGGTGCAAACGGCAGACTGGCAGACCCACTCCCGTCGGTTCGCAGCAGATTTGGGGAGCGCTGGGCCACTGCTCCATAGGAACTGATTTTGCAGCTCTCACACTGAGACAGCGTTCTGGTGCTGGAGATGCCCTGCAGCAGCCCGGCCTCTCTTGTGCTTCTTCCCTGGCAGGAGATGGGCAGGGAGCGAGGGACCCCCCTTCTCACGGGGTCCCTGACTCCTGGGGACGGTGCCCGCTGGTGTTTAAACATCTCCATCACCCCCACGCTCCTGTAGCAATGCTGTCCTGGGGAAATAACACCCTAGCATCTCAGCGAATCCCCCCAGACTTCCTAAAGGCAAAGAGAAGACCGGCTCCTGAGAAACTCTACGTACCCTCAGCTGCCAGGCGCCGCCGGAGTTCGCCCCCAGGAGCTGCATTGCGAGTTGGGGTCCCCTGCCAGGTCCCCGTCGCGGGTGAGTTGCTGCCCTCGTTTCCCCACCATCCCCTGGGACCGCAGGGACCACGACATCCATCACCTCCATCACAGGGGGATTTTAGTCCTGCTTTTCCCACAGCTTCTGTGCCACGGGTAAATATTTAACTGAAGCTTGCTTGGGTTTATTATTTTTTTTTTAAAGTGAGTGTTTGCTATTGCAGGGTTTCACTCTTTCAAGTGCTCAGTGATGTATAAACAGATTAACAGGTGGAAGAAGTATTTGATAAACAGAAGAAAGGCTTTTCAGAAAATGCTACTTGTGTGCGATTTGAATCAGTCAGAGCTAATCGTGGAAGTGGCTAAACTAAAGGAAATATAAAAAAAGAACACAGATAACATATTTTTAGCCTGAAAGCAGGTTTCTTAAAATGAGTAAAGCGCCGTACGCTGAGCCGGCAAGAGGCATGTTTTTTGCACAAGGTGCATAACCTATTTCTAACGTATCTGAGGGCAAGTATGTAAAGCTGGATGGGGTGAGATACACTGTATGACAGCTACTGCCTGGAAGTAATACAGGACTATATATAGGCCATATATTGCTTATAAGAACCTGGGATGTTCCGGTATCTGGCAATCACGTTTCATTACATTTCCACTGAATGTAAGTGCTTTTTCTACTGTTCGGATTCAAAGGCCCCCAGTCTTATGAATAATTCTGCATGTTTTGCTCCGTCGCTCTGGGCTCTCTCCGCCACATCAGGAGGTGCCGTAAAGGCAGCACCGACACCCCAGGCGCAGGCGGCCGGGCAGCGCCAGGCAGGGACGGGCAGCCCCACGGCTGACCCCCGCCAAGGCGAGGGGCACTGTGCGTTGGAAACGGCGCAGCTCCCCCGTCTGCGTGTGCAGTGTATTTCAAACGTTGAGAAATAGCTGAAAGTGCATACGAAGCAAAGCCTTTTCTCTCAATTTTCTGGACAAATATGGCCGAGCCTTGCACTGGCTCCCAAAAGAAAGAGAAAAAAGCCATTTTGTTAGACTTGAAATAAACGTTTGATTTGCCTTTAAGAGTTTTAAAATTACGTTTAAAATAACTAAATAAAAATAGAAATAGATTTGTTTAACTTCAAAAATTCCTAAATGAAAGGTTTGGCCTCTTTATTTCTTTAATCTTCATATTTCAACGCTGCATCTACTGTCACGAGTTTGCAGATTATTATGATCCAATTGGGGATCTTTTCCACTAAATAAACTATTTCGCTTAAAGTATTCAGCTTGTCTGTGCTACAGCTCATACGCACATTTATCTCAGAAGCCCAATGACCCTTCAGGCTGGATTTTCTTACCGGATTTTCAGGTTATAAACCATGTCCGTAACATTCGACTTGCTGCTTTCAGCTGATCTGGCGCTTGCTGCAATTGGTTTTGTTTTAGGAAGTTTTTTTTTAAATCCCTTCTATGAATATACGATTAGGATGAGAAGGGAGGCCAGTACATTAAGCTGCATCTTAAAAGGGAAATAAATAATAACTTTGTATAAAAGCTACTCGGTAAAAAACACTGCAGCCACCAACCTGGGCATGGGGAAATGCAGGGAATTTGCACTTGACTTGGAAAAAACGGCTGCGTCTGCCATCAGTGTCGACTCTGCCATGCCCCGCGTCTCCACGCTCACACCGAAGAAACCTTTGATGAGATTTTTTTAAGCTTAATCTCCCTGCGAAGCCACGGAGAGGAGGAGCCCGGCAGCAGCTCCCAGGGATGGAGAGACAAGACCCCCATAACAGGAGACACGAGTCGTCTCCTTCTCAGGCCATTCCCCATTAGCCGGGGTTTCAGGTGGCCGTGTCGGGCTCACGGCCCCGCCGGTACCTGTGCCTCGCAGGCGAAGACTTTAATTTGATTAGCACAGTGCTAAGGGTAGAAACCCCGTTAATTACATGAACGGTGCTCACTGGGTAAAACACCTCCCTTTGCGGCACCCGTGACCAGTTATTATAGTGCCATAAACATGGAAAAAACCCACAAGGACGACACAGCATCATCAGAAGCCTTCAGCCACGTGTCTGAGAGATGGTGGCAGCAAGAAAGTCCTCGCCTCCCCCCGCTCGCCTCCCCTCTGTATCTGAAGGCTTTATTTGTTCATTAGCATTTTTTATTTGCATTCACAGGGGCTTAATGAGACGGCCATCCTGTGTTAAACAAAAATCAGCCGCTGGGGAAGAGCCCATTAGTGGCTGTAAGGCAACATGTAACTGTCTTCCATGCAAAACACTTCTTCCTGACCATGCTTTGATGACTCTGACTGCTATTTAAAAGGGAAAGTTGCAGATTCCTGAGCAGTTCATCACTGCTAATTAGTCTTCACCTTTTAAAGTTTGTTCAACAGCTGCCCGATGCTACAAACGCATCCCTTTCCTGCACCCCCCCCCCCACCCGGGGGTGTGGGGCACCCCATGTCCATGGGCAGGTCCCTGGGGGCAGCTGTAGGGCAAAGAAAAGGGGAAACGCTCCCCCGGAACATTTAGGGCGGGTTCCACCAGCTCAGCCGGGCCGTGTGGTTTCCAGTGGATAAGGGGCTGGCGCTGGGATGAAGACCCCATTCTGCTCCTGCTGCGGGACCTTTGCTGCCCCCAAAAGTGGCCAACACAACCCCCTGCCCAGTCCCGGCAGGTCCCCGTGCACCGTCCTGCTCTGCTGCTGCCAGCCCCTCGCCCACAAAAACAAACTTGACCCTGGTGCGCTCGCTCTGCCTCACCTGGGATGTGGTCAGTGATTCATTTCCACTGCCAAAGCCCTGTGTTGACATTGAAAGGGGCGTTATCACAGGCGCTGGTACACCGGGGCGAGGGTGTACCTGTTGGTATAAGAACAACGCCACGGCGCTGTCTGCACCCGCAGAGCCCGGCCGAGGCCAGCGCTGCCGCCGAGCCGCCGACATGAAGCACCTCCTCCTCCTCACTGTGCTCTGCCTCTCCCTGGCCAGCAGCTTGAAAAGGTAAGGGGGTCCCCAGGGTGCACGCCAGCTCCCTGGGCTCTTGGAGGGGCTTTGTTCCCAGGGTCCTGCCAGCGCCAAGCGTGGCAGTGATGAAAGGGCAGAGCTGAGCTCCCCTGGCACGGACACCCTGCAGCTGCACGGGAGCATGGGGACCACTCAGGGACTACGCGGGGACCACACGGGGCTTTGCTGGTTTCCTTCCATCAGACCGTTGGCTCCGTGGCCATCTCCATCTCTCTGGGCAGACCCCGCCAGCGGCAGTGGGCTGCAGCGAGGTCTGCAGGATGAGCTGCCGGCTGCAGCCGAGGGCTGTGCAAACAGACGGGGCAGATAATGCCGGCATGAAGTCCCCTCTCCCAGCCTGAGGGTCCTTTTCCATCAGTCATGCTGAGCTCCTGCCCAACCCATTGCTGCGAGCAGGCCTGTGCTGGGGCGTGCGGGCTCCCCTGCCAGCTTTGCCCTTGGTTTGCTGCCTCCTAAAACAGATCAAGTCCCCTGTTTCACTGTGCCTCGGCAAGAAAGCATTGCAGCGGGGGATGCAGGGAAGCAGGCTCTAGACCTGCACGCCGGTGGCACTGGGACCCTCAGGGCAGATGAAGGGGGTGCATGACATCGGCAGCATACGCGGCCCTGGGCGAGTGACCAGGACCCTTGCTCCCCCAGGGTGACCCTGATGCGGCACCGCTCCCTGCGGAAGTTGCTGCGGGACCGTGGGCAGCTCTCCCACTTTTGGAAAGCCCACAGGCTCGACATGGTCCAGTACAGCGAGGACTGCACTGCCTTCACAGATGCCAGCGAGCCTCTCATCAACTACCTGGACGTAAGCGTGGCGGCACCGAGGGCTGGGGGGTACTGAGTCCCAGTAGCGTGCCGCAGACACCCCAAAAGCACATTAGTTTGCATGAGTGGTCCCCAAACGCTTCCCATAAAGCCCACGCCTGCTAACGGAGCACGCCTGCAGCCAGTGCCCCAGCGTGCCAGGGCTCGGTGCCTGCCCGCTCCTGCCTGGTCCTTTGTTCTCAGGAATGTGATGATGAGAGGGGACAAGGGACCGCATTCATGGCAGGCGCTGCCAGCCCTCTCCCTGCCTGCCACGCTCCCCGAGCCTGCAGTGCTCTTGGGCACATGGCAGGGAGACAGATTTCCTCCAAAGCTAACACGTACCACACGCATCAGAGAAGATCTCACCACAAAAGACCCAGAGCCAGAGGTGGAGGGTGTTCCCCAGGCCCTTCCCATTCCCCAGCAGCGTGAGGGTCCTGTCCCCAAAGCCCCTGCCACTGTCTGCATCCCACCGATGAGGGTCCCCTCGGGGCCTGGCCTTCCTGCTGAATCCAGCAGGAAGAGGATGGCGCCCACACCTGCCGTCCTGCCTTTTGTTCTCGCCTTGCCTTGTTGTTCCTTAAAGATTTGGCTCCTTTATTTCACCTGGCACAATGTTGCCGTGACAGATCAAACATTGCCCCGGTGTCAGCCATCCCCTGCACCGAACCCCATCAGTTCTCTGCAGACACCCCGGCACAGGCTCCCCTTGGCCAGGATTTCTTGGCGTGCCGACAGCTAACGGCTCTGCTCTTTGCTAGATGGAGTATTTCGGGCAGATCTCCATCGGGACCCCTCCACAGAACTTCACCGTGATATTCGACACGGGCTCCTCCAACCTCTGGGTGCCGTCTGTCTACTGCGTCAGCAAAGCCTGCGGTGAGCAGGGGCTCCCCAACTGGCCGTCCCCCTCCGGCCAGCTGCAGTGGGACCCTGGGTGACACCCCTGGGGGTGGCCCCAGAGAGGCTGTGGGGTCATCAGCACACACAGCCTAGGGGCCTTGGGGGGACCTTCTCACCCAGCTGAGCCCTCCAAGGCACACGCAGATAACAGAAATCCGGGGTGCGAGCCAGGGGAGCCTCAGCAGGTTTGTTTGCTCAGGCGCAGGTGGCGATCACACCACCAGCACCCAGCACCATCAGCCCACGGGAGATATCGGATGTGCTTTTTAGGCCATTCTTAT